AAGCAGTATTTCTGTTACGAGAGCGCAGTGGTTCTCTTTCTCTTCCTCTCTGCTGCATGGTTTACAAGCATTTCATCTCCATGGTTGAATAAACTCCATCAAAAGCACATTATCCTCCTACTTCTGTGGCCAGCTGCCTAATTGTATCTGCTTTAGCTGCATGCTGTTGGAACACAATACTGACTCAGAACAAAAATGATAAATTGCTCCCCGCAGCTGATAGTGATGATGGTAACTTTTAATTTCCTTTCTCTTAAGTGAATTGGTCGGATTGCTTTTAGCCGTTTACAGTTTGAATTTACAATATTAACTGAGGTGTTTTCTTTTATAAAGAAAAGGCTCAGGTATATGAGAAAGAGCTGTGCAACTACAGCCCTGTGCATTCGTCTGTCATTAAAATAAACATGAAACATGTTTGTTAAAGGTTAGGGTGCTTATTATGTTAACAGTGGTAAAAAAATTAGGGTTTTTTTTAAAAAAATTTGTTAATCTAAAAATGTGTCCCTCTGCTTAGGTAGAACAAATGAGTATTTCATAAAGCTGAGGTTAACTCTTTTAACTTGAGCAAGAACATCCTGGCTTTTCCTCCCTGATCTTGTGCTCACAGAAACATTAAGGTCTATGCACTATTTTCCTGCAAGTGATTTGAGAGGATTTCTTAACTGAGGCAACTAGCGCAGCTTATATTTCAACATTGGCTTGGTCTGTGATTTGATATCACAGTTCTGTTATATGGGCTTAGTGACTATATTTGCAGCTCCAGCACTTCTCGTTTTTCCCTGCATAGCTGATAGTGTGCTCTGAATATTTACTTCTCTTTATCCTATTTCCTGTGTCTTTTGCTTGTCGTCACCTCAATTCATGGCCTTACCCAGTCACTCAACAAACACACGCTTCTATCTGCTTGTGAGATGCGAAGAATAGAAAGCAGAATTATTACTCTGCTGCAGTGGTTTCCTAATATAAAACATCCTCTCAAAGCGCATGTCAGGCCAGAGCTGCAGGATATATATAGCTAATCCAGTTGTGCTCGCTTCCAATTTCCTAGAGGAGGCTGTTCAGAGAGTAGTGCTTGAATGACTCTCACTGAGATGCAGGAGTCAATCATGATTACTCCTCTGGGGACGATAGAGCTGCTGTCAGAGATCAAGTGATAAGGTAGAAAGAAATAGAGGTGAAGTAAGCAAAATCTCTTCTGTGTTAAACAAAAACAGAAACCTTTATAGGTATTAGTAGTGGCACACTTATTTTAGATTTGATAACCATTACTCAGACTTCAAGTTTTGCATTTTATTTGTTTAAAGTTCCATAAATTTCATTCATCTTCTCATACTAAACAATTCATAGTAGAATAAAGTCTCACTCTGTTTTTCATCAGTTCAGCTTCTCCTGAACCTGCTAAATTGAGCCTGACCATGTTTTTAGTGAGACTAGATAGTGGTGCCCTCATAATTTATAGCAGAATGTGTGTTAGCATATTTGGAGGCTTGTCTTGCTTTGAATGCAGAGCTTGAAGCGGCTTATAATACACTTTAAAATTAAAACACAAGTCAGAAAATAAAATATTGATATTAAAACCTTATAGAACTAAAGCTCTAAATTATCCTTGTCTTTCTGAGGCAACAGAAAAACCAAAACAGTTGTGTCCTCTCACTAAGGCACTGTCACGTTAAAATGATAAAAGTTGTAAAATTGTGGGAGCAACAACCAGGTTGGCATATAAATACAATCATAGATGCAGAATCCTGCAACTTTTTCCATAAAGAGGCTTGAAGCCAGATTGGGGGGAAAGTCAAGGGCAGATGTGTGGTTCACATAATTAGAGTTCTCTGTCACCACATGCTCAGGTTTTTTATGCAGTAAGTAAAGGCAAGTTAGAAATCAGCCTTTCTCAGCAAGACCCTTACATTATCTTAGACTATCTGAAAGGTTAGAACAGGGGAGAGTGGCTATATGTGGTAGCTTTCACAATATCCAGGATTCTGTCAACATTGCTGTCATTCCTTGGGGGTCATCTGCCAAACTACTTTAAATAATTGTGCTTGATGTTATTAAGCTGATAGAGCCAATATTGCTGCCTGCTAGAAATGTGACGAACTGGAAAAATTCATGATTTTTTTTCCTGAGGACTTTTTCAATTTTTGTAATGGAAGATTGGAAATTCTGTGGAGTACTGAAAGCTTCTATGAAATATTTTTCTTTAAGTTATTTTTTTAAGGCAAGATTCTACACAAAATGTAGAATTCTACATAAGGCTATCTGCAGCATTAGAGAATGATTATATCTATTGCAGACACATATGCTGTTTTCAAGGGTACAATTCCAAGTGACCGAGGTTGTTCACATTTTAGTATGTTATAGTATGTTTAGTGTGTTTTACTTGGTGCAAAATACTAAATCTACCACATTCCCTTTTATATGTATTGGGCCCAAAACGACCCGAGATAAAGCAATGGTTGTCCTGGCCAGAAAACTGTGCTTATAGCCTGTCAAGTAGGTCTCAGCATTAATATTGACATTCTAGAGGTATCCAACATAAGCTGCATCTGCCAACTCACAGGGCACCCAATGGTTAGCTAGGTAAATAAAAGCCTTTTTGTTTTTAAGCAAATAAGGCTGCATTTACCACTGATAATGTGGAATATAAAAAACTTGTTTGCTGCCATTAACTAGGATGGCTAGGACACTCAGAGCTAAACTGCATAGCTTTCTAATTTTTTCCTTCCTACCAAATTCTCTGCATCTGTCATCATTTAAATTGCAGGTATATTTTTAGAAACAGCAACTACACTTCTTATTTTAGTCATTTGTTCAGGTAGCCGGTGGAGAAGCTAAAACTGTGTATATCTTGTGGAGTCTAATGTGGTTATTTAGACTTTAACTGTAACATTCTTTGTATGAGGGCTAAAAAGGGGAGGACCCGAAAAGAAGAGTGTCATTGTATTCCAAATTCAGAGGTCTCTCTAGATCTTTTTCAAGGGCCACCCTCCTTCCCCATTTCTTTATTATCTTGCAGAGCTGGACAGTTCACTCTCCTCTTTCTAATACCTGCTGCTACTGTTATTATTCCTATAACTGTATGGTTTAGCAGTTTAGTTCTGGTAATTTGTAGGGCAACTAGAAAGCAATTTAGGGAGTTGTAGCAGAAAAAGTTTGTGGATGGGGAGGAGTTAATTATTCTCCTGCTGTTTCTCTTTTCCAAATTGCCCATTCTTGAAGCTGCTGTTCTGTAGAGATAATTGCATTTGGAGTTTGTTGTACACACACGTGCGTTAAACCCTGTGAATGCAGAAACGATGCAGTCTTTTCCTAAAGGTTTAGTTGTCTACTAGGTAAAGTAATTACTTGTCAGTGAATTGTGGAGTTGCTGCATTCTTGCAGTCGGTTTCCTTGGCCCTGTGTGTACTGGTATGGTTAGGCTAACACATGACCTCTACAGAGAGAACTCAATCCAAAGAACATAGTCCATATCACAAATGTGATTTAGCTGACATGAACAAACTGCAAAAGGAAGAAAATGTCATCTACATATGCAGACTTGTCTGGAGATAGCTTTTGGAAGCAATGTCTTGGTGTACCACCCTCTTTGATCGCTCCACTAATTTGGGACAGTATCTTGGTGGCTGCAACACCCATGCTGTTTGGGGGCAAAGCCTTCCTTCCTCTCCCCACAGAGACAATAAGCAATACAAAAGCACTTAGTGCCAGTTAGGTGTTAGGCTTGAAAGAAACTATGAGACTATTCCTAAAAGCCTAAATAATGAGTGTGGCCTTCTGCTGCTCTTGGGATTCCTGAATTAGTTTGATTGTGTTAACTCTTATTGAGTAATATATTTAGTTATGCCACATTCAACTTTTTACAAGATTAAGCATATTTTTATTTAAATTTCTGTGCACTCAGAGTAGGATATGTGTATATGTGGTCTTCTAGGCCAACCAAACGAATGCAGATAGTATAACGTGAGAAGGTTGTTTCTTCTTTATTTCTGCAGAATTTATGTTTTCTTGGATTCTTGGTAATGTAAAGCTGTAGTCTTAAAACCACTTTCCTGGGAATAAGCCCCATTTAATAAAACTGGACTCACTTTCCAGCAGACCTGCTTAGGTCTGCTCTGTGAAGTTCTTACCTTTCCCATTCCAGAAGTTATAATGGGCAATCTCTCCTTATATATAATTGAGTAGTGGGGTGGCACTTTCCAGCTCTCCCATTGGCTGTGCAATGCGCTCCATCAGCCATTGGCCTGTCAGCCGCCACTCAAGAGTACTCGCATGCTATTGGCCGGGTGCTGGGTCTGCTCCTCTTCCCTGCTCACTCCCACCTCAGACACTGTTCCCTGTCAGAATTACTGGCAAACGGCTGTCTCTCCCAACGAAGACACTTCTCCTGCTTGGCTCCTCTCTGAGACTCACTTTTCCCTCAGTGGCTGCTGGTAGAAGGAAATCCTTTCCAGGCCTTTGTGAGGAACTCATTGGGGCCCGTCCTGACTAGGGTTGCCAGCTCCAGGTTGGGAAATTCCTATTGTTGCCAGTCTCCAGGTGAGGGGTGGAGATCACTCAAAATTACAACTCCTCTTTAGGTAGCAGAGATCAGTTCCTCTGGAGAAAATGGTAGGCTCTGTGTCATTATACCCTGCTGAGGTCGCCACAGCAAATTGACACTGAGTGCCCAAAGCCGGGGCGCTCTCCCAGAGCCTCTTTCTAGAGCTTGTTGTATTTATTTCCACAACGAACCTTATTCCTAGTTTCCGTAATATTAAAGGTAATAGAAGATCCAAACCTTAATTGAATAAAGATGCCTGCCTTAAATCTTCTGAATGCAGGTTCACCATTTCTAAATTAACATCAGCCTGAACAGACAACATTCTTGCCCTTAATAATTAAAGCTTTTATATAGGCACCCATTTCTTCATTTGGTTTTTGGGACATCTTTGACCAGTAGTTCTGAAAACCACTTCCCACACAACCTTTTTTTTAAACTTTATTTTATTTTATTATTTCAGGCAATTGCTGGATATTTTGATATATACTTTGAGAAGAATTGCAACCAGAAAGTGAGTACCTAAAAGGCTACATATTTAAAATATAATTGAAGATTATTTTGTGTTTTTGAATGTGTGTAAGCTTTTTGCCTTAAGGGTTTTTTCCTCCATCAAGTCAAGCTGACTTGTAGTGACCCCTGGTGGGGCTTGAGGGCAAGGGAAGTTCAGTGGCTTATCATCTCCCGCCTCTGTGTCACGATCCTGGTATTCCTTGGAGGTCCCCTTCCAAATGCTAGCCAAGGTTGGCCCTGCTTAGCTTCCGAGATCTGACAGACTCAGGCTTACCGGGGCTATCCAGGTCAGGGCCCTTAAGGTTCTTGAGAGAAAGCCTTTTTTTGCTGTTTCAGGCATTTATTGTGTGTATGTTTGTGTAACAGATTAAAGTAGCATGATATGAAGTCTTGTATTTAATCAGATTCCTGAACTCTGTCAATGCAGGTCTTGTTCTCAACTAGTCCTTGTAGTGCCGGAACACACTGGAAACAAACACTGTTTTTTCTGGAGAATCCAATTCATGTGGAAAAAGGTATAATATTTTTCTGATCTTATGATAAAAATCTCCACAATTCTAGGTGCTCCTTGGTAAATAAAGCTAAGTACATGGTATATGCTCTTTATTACAAAAATAATGTATTCTCTTTCCTTTCTGTCACAAAATACAGGATCTGTGAATGTTCTTGCTTTAGTGTTGGTCTGCATATTCAGTAGCTATTGGTCGCCCTTACTGACGACCTCCGACAGCATCTGGATCGAGGCGGTGTGGCGGCGCTGGTGTTGTTAGATCTGTCGGCCGCATTCGATATGGTCGACCATCAGCTGCTGACCCACTGCCTCGCCGACGTGGGGATTCAGGGGCTTGCCCTTCAGTGGCTTACCTCTTTCCTCCGAGGTCGGGGACAAAGGGGGGTGATAGGGGAGCAGCAGTCCCAGAGACACCCTCTTGTGTGTGGGGTGCCTCAGGGGGCCGTTCTTTCCCCGTTATTGTTTAACATCTACATGCACCCCCTTGCCCAGATTGCCCGGAGGCATGGGCTTTGGTGTCATCAATATGCTGATGACACCCAGCTCTATCTGATGTTGGGCGGCCGGTTGAGCTCTGTCCCTGAAGATCTGCACCGGGCATTGCAGGCCGTGGCTGGTTGGCTCCGACTGAGCAGGCTGAAGTTAAACCCGGCGAAGACGGAGGTCCTGGTGCTGAGTCACGGTGGTCTGGGGTTGGGGCTCCCTCTCCCGACCTTCGATGGGGTGCCTTTGATGCCAGCGCCGGAGGTTAGGAGTTTGGGAGTGCTCCTGACTCCTTGTTAACTATGGAGGCCCAGGTGGCAGCCACTGCCAAGTCAGCCATTTACCATCTGCAGCTGGTGCGGCAGTTGGTTCCCTTCCTCGACCACAGTGACTTGGCCACGGTGATCCATGCGACAGTCACTTCGAGGCTAGACTACTGCAACGCTCTCTACATGGGGCTGCCTTTGTCGCAAATCCGGAAGCTTCAGCTAGTGCAGAATGCTGCGGCCAGGCTGTTGATGGGTCTTCCTAGTAGGGACCACATCCAGCCTGTGCTGAAAGCGCTGCACTGGCTGCCAATAGCGTACCGGATTCGCTTCAAAGGGCTGGTTCTTACCTTTAAAGCCCTACATGGTCTGGGTCCAGCTTACCTAAGGGACCGCCTTCCCTCATATGTTCCCCCATGAGCACTTCGGTCTGGGACGCAACATCTCCTGGCAACGCCAGGTCCCAGAGAGACCAGGCTGGCCGCGACCAGGGCCAGGGCTTTCTCGGTGGCGGCTCCTACCTGGTGGAATGAGCTCCCGGTGGAGATCCGGGCCCTGCGGGACCTTGTACAGTTCCGCAGGGCCTGTAAGACGGAGCTCTTCCACCAGGCGTATGAGTAGGAGCCGCCACTACCATCACTATTGTCCATCTTAACCTGGCCCTGGAAGAGGGAACATCAGTGGTTCCCGGAGCAGATGATGCTGAGGAATAGAGCAGTGGAAATAGAGCAGTGAAATACGCCATCTTGCGAAATAACATCTAGAGCACTTTATTTAGTAATTGGTTAATGTGATTTTATTTGTACTGTAGTGATCTTAAATGATTTTAAATATGTTTTATATTGGCGCAGGCCTCTTTGTAAGCCGCCCTGAGCCCGCGCAGCGGGGAGGGCAGGGTATAAATTGAATAAAATAAATAAATAATAAATAATACAATGTGACAGACTCCTGCAAGGACTATGCTATTTCAGGTTTCAAGTGCAGTTATATTTGAATGCTCCTCCCCATTAAAAACAAAAACAAAACTTACTACACAGAGACAGAATCAGGGAACTGGCTAGGCTAGAATATTTCTTCCTGATGTGCTGGTTTTCTTCATACAGGGAACTTTGTATGGGAAGCATTCAAAACTCTGACCCCATCCTCTAACCTGCAGTCAGAAAAGATACATCCTAGAAAGGCTCTCATGCCTTATTTTCTCAATATATAGTTTGATTTCTATCTCCTTATCATGCCTGCAAACATGTCTATCAGTATGGATATAGCTTCTCAGATTCCTTACATTTATTACTATTTATTAATTGTTTAAAACAGCTATATGCAGCCTCTTCAGAGGTGGTGCGCAACATAAAAAATAAAATCATAAAACACAAGATTATGAACACTAACAACTTTTAATTTGGGCAGGCATGCCCTACTCCTTTTACCAAAAGTTAAAAATTCCAAGAAAGGTCTGTATTTGAAACTACTTGAATTAGTGACCATAAGGCTGCTAACCTGTTTCGAAGGTGACTTTTGTAGCTTGCTTTAAATTAATAAATGTGCAATGAAATTTTTAAATGTTCAGTGGCATTTGTCAGAGAAAACACTTAACATTATAAAATTAGTTGTGTACCGAGCAAGACTTAACCTTTGAGCACTCCTGCATGAACATTGTTCACTATGCTGCAGTGCCTTTAACAACAGTCTCAGAGTTCGGGATATGTAACCCACAAATTCATGATCTTTCCAGATTAGCAGTCACAGGGATGCTGGTTCTCACTCTTTTCATTTCCATTGCTTACAGAACCTACATGATGTAGTTTCGGTCAGTCTTTCTCTTTGCTACCCCTTGAGGTTAATGGTTGGATCCCAACAAATAGGCCTGTGCATGCAAGGGGAGGCAATTTTTGCCAACTCCCACCTTCTTATAGCAGCCTTACAGTTCCCCGTACTGCTGTTTGTAGGAATCCCCACCCACTAGGAGCAGTATTGTGGAAGAAGAAGTTGGGCTACAGCAGGAGGGAGAGGTGAAAAAGTCATGCTCACCCAGTGGAAATCCTACTACCTGCAGCACATTTTGATGTGCTGACCAAACAGCCAGCCTTCCAGAGCTCTCTTAAATCTGTCTTGTGGCACTTCCTAAAAACCAAACAGGTAAGTGTCTTCCTAAGAGACTCTGAAAAGGTGTTCCATGACATAGAGCAGCTATAGTGAAAACCCAATACCAGGCAGTGGCATTTTTAACAAGTCTGCAAATGGGAATTGATAAAAAAAGATGCTGCTGAGATAAGCAAACTTCTACACTGGTTCAAATGAGTGGAGAGTGAGACAGTGCTTCAGGTGTGAGGATCCCCGATCTCAAAGTGCTTTAAAAGTCAGTTAGTGTTGCACTCAGCTCTGCTGCAGGTTCTTTTCAGAATTCTAGTGAGAGCAGGACCAACCACATGCACATCCAGTTAGATTTATGAATCAAATCTATTTATTTAGCACAGTAGCATAAATTCACTAGCAACAACAAATAATCAAGGAAACGCTTACAAAACCTGTGATATCACCTTGCATGCAGAAATTCTGAAATGCAGAAATATGCTGGCACAGCAAATTCCGGTGCTCTTGGGGAGGGGAAAGTTTAGCGGTGGGTCTAGGCAGAAGATCAAGGGAAGGACCCTGAGAAACAGAAGAGCTCGGTGCCCTTCCAGCCTACGACCCATCCCGAGGGAGGTCAGCAGTGGGGCTAGGAAGAACCCCTCTCCGTCATTGGTATTATGCAACGCCAGGTCCATCAATAATAAGACGATGGTCCTTCGGGACTACATCTCGGAACAACAAGCGGACCTGGCGTGCTTGACCGAGACCTGGGTACGGGATGGGGAGACCGTAGCTCTCTCCCAACTTGCCCCACCTGGGTTCTCGGTCGTACACCAATCACGGACTAAGGGGCGGGGGGGAGGAGTGGCGTTGTTCATTCGGGAGGCTTACTCCTTCAGGGCCCTCCCCTCACCGGAGATCGCGGGCATGGAGTGTACCGGCCTGATGCTGGAGACTGAGGAGAACTTGGCCATCTGGCTAGTGTACCGACCGCCTAACGCACCGGCCAGTGGTCTGCCGTCCCTGCTGGAGGCCGTGTCGGGCTGGGCGTTGGAGCACCCAGCCTCTGGCCGGGCTACGGACCTAGTGTCGTCCATGGCGGCACTGGGGCTCTCCCAATATGTATCGGTCCCCACGCACCAGGCCGGACACACGCTCGACTTGATCTTCGCTGCGGGGATTACAGTGGACCGGATTACTGCTACGACAGTACCATGGTCGGCCCACTACTCTCTGAAGGCCCGTCTGAACGTCCCACCCCGACCCTGTTTAGGCGGCGAGCAGATTTTAGCTCGCCCACGGAGCCAAATGGACCATGTACGGCTTCAAATGGCTCTGCGGGATCCGATGCCCCCTGGCGGCTCATTGGATGAGCTTGTGGGGGACTGGCATGACCGACTCTCCACAGCCATCGATGAGATCGCTCCCCGGTGCCCTCTGCGCTCCCGCACTAGGCCGGCCCCCTGGTATACCCAGGGACTTCGGCTTATGAA